ATACGTGGAGTTCCATCTGTCATGCAATTGCCTCAAATGTTTCAACTCTTTTTGGTATTGTGCACCAATACAATACACTATCATGGATTCTCTCAACACTCGGGCTAATGATATCCAAACCATCATTTACTATCAGGTTCAATATGTGTGTACAACACCGCAAGTAGAAAAATTCAGCATTCAACAGTAAAGAACCAAGAGAAAGCTTATCTAACATAATGTTAATCACAGCGTCATTCGTGGTGCAATTATCAACAGTCAATGTGGACAAGCTAATCAATATTCCAATCAAATAGACAATCTATTAACACAGTAGACAGTGACTAAGCAATATGGGGACAAGGGACATATATAAATCTATATAGATATGAAAAAAAAGTTAGTAAGATAGCATAAAATTTCAGAAAATATACGAGAGTAGCTTAAAGTCTATTTTATAAAACTATTGTACCTCAAAATTTGGCTTTGAAGCCTCCAAGAATCATCTATGTAATATGCAGTGATAGCCATAAATCCTTTCTTTTGATTGGATGTGTACATATCAGTAGTGACTGCTACTCTATTATCGGTCCCCTCTAACAAGCCCATTACTTGTGTTCTCTTGTAATCATAAATTTTCAAGATATGACATCTAATTACAAGAAAGATAAACAATTCAATAAATTCAAAAACTCAGGCATTCATTAGTTCTCCATTAGATAGAATATGCTATCATTATTTTAAGAAAAACCAAATAGAAAAGTAATCCCATTCAATTAAATTGAACAGTAAACATAAAGATAAAATACCTTTTCCTTTTTGTTAAACAATTCGACAAACTCAAAAACTCAAGCATTCATTAGTTCTCTATTAGACAGAAAATGCTGTTATTATTTTAAATTCAATCAAATGGCGCATGCATGCACTCGAGACCACTCGTCATTGTGTGAGCATGCATCTATATATATGCACTGGATTCTATCTTCTAATTACTCAAATCAACTCATGTCATAAACGCTAAATATTTGATTAACAAGTTGATGGGATTGTTCGTGTAGGGTGGTTCGAGACGTGTTGTGATTTCAGTGGCTGGAATGGAAGGTTTGGGAAAAATAAGAGAGGCAATCGTCGACAAGAGAGGGACTGTGGACGTGAGTCGTGAGAGGGAGATTGAAGATAATAGGTTAGAGTTGCATTTTATCCTTTCGTAATTAATTTTAATTTTTTTTTCTTTCTTCATGTGGCGGGGCAGGTTTTCTTCATCTCTAAATCCATTTAATGTTTTGACACATTTTTAGACTCCTATTCATAAGGATTTATATATATAAGTCACGATTTGTATTATTCTCATAACATTCAATGACATCTGGAGAGCTTTAGATCTTAATTGAGAGTTTTGAGATCTTCGTTGTGAACACAATTACTATTGGTTATCATGAATTTCTTCTTCTCTGCTTGTGATTTTTCACATTTGGGGTTTCCACATAAATCTTAGTGTTGTTACTTTTTTTGTTTATTTTATTATTATCATTATTTTCTTTCTTCATGTGGCGGGGCAGGTTTTCTTCATCTCTAAATCCATTTAATGTTTTGACACATTTTTAGACTCCTATTCATAAGGATTTATATATATAAGTCACGATTTGTATTATTCTCATAACATTCAATGATATCTGGAGAGCTTTAAATCTTAATTGAGAGTTTTGAGATCTTCGTTGTGAACACAATTACTATTGGTTATCATGAATTTCTTCTTCTCTGCTTGTGATTTTTCACATCTGCGGTTTCCACATAAATTTTAGCGTTGTTACTTTTTTTGTTTATTTATTATTATCATTATCTTTTGATCAATTCATAACAAGTGGTATTAGAGTTAAGTTGTTTATTAGTTATTACGCATAGCAACGATGAATATGATATTCCGTTATTAGATCGAAACACGAGATTTACTTTATGACAAGTGAAGATGCCGGCAGTTCTCATGTAGATGGATTTGGGGGAAGCCTTGCTTGGCTTTGATAAGATACCTTCAACTTGGACGCGGAATGAAAAGGTAACCAATTACGTAAATCAATAGTTCAAACCGCACTCAAAGGTAGGGCATTTCCCATTTTTATAGGAACTTCTGTACCAGAAACAAAGGTATCTCCAATTATAGCCCCTCTGGGATGTAAAATATATCTCTTCTCACCATCCCCATAGTGTATGAGACAAATGTATGCATTTCGATTAGGGTCGTATTCTATGGTTACGATTCAGCATCATTGTGGTAAAGGTCGTAATGCCAGAGGAATCATTACCGCAAGGCAGGAAGCCTTGCTTGGCTTTGATAAGATACCTTCAACTTGGACGCGGAATGAAAAGCAGCGTATGGATCAGAAAGCCTAATCTCAAAATCATCTATATCTATTGAATCAAATTTATCTACATCTATGAGAATTTCCGTTCATTTTCATGTACTTTGCTTGATGATGGTTAAACATTGTTATTCCCTGGACAGAACAAAAAAGAAATTCAAATGTTGAACACTTACGTCAATTCCATGCAAAGTATCACCATTTTTACGTACGCAATATGATTTAGTGAGAACACTCATTTAGACCACTCTCAAGTAAACGTATACATAAAATGTGTAAGATGGGAGACAACACAGCAGAACATAATGTTCATTCAAGTATATAACAATTCTTAGTTTATTTAAAAATTTCAGTCATTTTCTGTTCTTATACATAAAGCATAGACAAGGCATTCTTTTGTAATTTCAGATTGAAACAAGCTTGATTCAGTACAAGTGAGCTCAAGAACTGAAGAATGTAGGCAATTTCTGAACCCCGTAAACAATTGCTGTGTACATTCTTTCCCTTCTTCATGCTCTATCTCTATGACTTATTCTTTGAGATTGGTAGGCTTCTTGAAATTATTGATTCTGGTACTATGACTTCTTTGTATAACATGCTACATTCCAAGTTGAACCTCTAAATAAGTAGTTCTTCAATATATAAAAATTTAACAGAGTTATCTTTGCGATACAATGGAATTAGCTGGAAACCTAATAATGGAATGCCTTGTAACTTCGAAGTGGCACCTTTATGATTGTAGACCAAAGAAGATCATAATATAGTTGCAGCTGAACGACTGCAAAAAATGCCACTGGTATGCAAGCAACACCATATATTGGAACAGCTGCATAACTCAATTTTTCTCTGAGGATAAATGTATGCCCAGCACAGAATGAGACCAGCATAGCAACAATGGATGCAAAGAGAGAACTTAAGCCCAACAAAAGCTTTCTTGGCAATGTCAATTTGAAATCACGTTCCTGACATCTCGAAGTAATGATGGAAAGAAAAAACACAAGGGATGTGACAGAAAGGGTGAGAGCAACTAGGGATGTGATGGAAAACACACTAAATGCTGTTTTGTTTTCCAGAATTGGATGCCCGGTATCCTCATTCAATCCACCAGGCACTGTGGCTGAGGTAGCGAATGCAACAGTGGCAATGAGTGCAGCAATTACAGAACACGACTCTGATGTTTTGATAAGCCATTTAGTGCCTTCTTTGACTAGCTTTCGATGTGTCTGTGTGAAGATCTGCCTTGGGGTCTCTCCCTTAATGTTGTTGTGAGCAAAGCTTAGTGGTGGAACCGAGTGTTTAACATGCTGTATCATATTCGAAATATTGGTTAGTATTCATTTATATTTGATTTTTTTTTCCATTTTCTAACAACTCCTAGAAGTTAAATATAGAAATATGAAAACACAATAACTAGTTGATGTAAAAGCTTAAAGACATAAGACGCAGAACACATGTATTATGTAAATGGTTTTAGATGAATTCACTCAATGTGGTAGCAAAACTGACTGAGAGCATATAAAGGTCTTCAATATAAGTTCTGCAGCCAAGCATTTAAGGAAAAAGAAAAAAAAAAAAAAAAAAACACTATGCACATATTATGGCTTTGATTAAAAAAAATAAAAATGAATCTGGCCTACACTTGAGAGTTAGTTGAGGACTTGAATTAAATAATAAATGCGGCCTCTCTCTAAAAATTTAAACTTTTAAATAGAATAGTTTAACATATATATATGGACAGTACCTTGCAGAAGTGTAAATGGTTTTAGACGAATTCATCAATGTAGAGAAAAAGTGACTGAGAGCATATAAAGGTCTTCAATACAAATCTCGTAGCCAACAATTTAAAAAATAAATAAAAATAAAATAAAATAAAACACCGTGCTCATATTATAGCTTTGATAAGAAAAATGAATCAAACCTACACTTGAGAGTTAGTTGAGAATTTGAATTAAATAATAAATGAGATCTCTCAAAAAGTTTAATATTTTAAATAGAATAGTTTAACATATATATGTATAGTACCTTGCAGAACTGTGAATGGTTTTAGATGAATTCATTCAATGTAGAGAAAATCTGACTGAGAGCATATAAAGGTCTTCAATACAAGTCTTGCAGCCAACCATTTAAAAAAATAAAATAAAATAAAACAAAACACTATGCACATATTATAGCTTTGATAAGAAAAATGAATCTGACCTACACTTGAGGACTTGAATTAAATAATAAATACGATCTCTCTCTCTCTAAAAGTTTAATATATATATGTAAGTACAGTACCTTGTACCATTTGATCTCCCATTGCATCTGCAGAGCAGCACCGGGAATAACCCATGGTAAGAGTTCTCCAATCATTGCAGCAAGGTGCAGAATGGTGTTTCCTTGATCATCGAATTGGTGAAACACGAATTCTGGGAGCTTCTTCTCCGCCAAATAATTAAAAACAGTGGTTTGCCTATTTTCAGCGGCCAACATCAACACATTCTTCCCGCTAGAATCCAGGTCTTGAATGGCTACTGGAAATGTGTCCAGGATTTTCTGTACCATTTCGAGAATTCCCATCTTCGCTGCTACTAGTATTGGAGTCTCCAGTTTCACTGTTCCAATTGATCCCACATAATTGTTTGCAAATTCCTAACTATTAAATAAAAAAGAGTTCTTATGCATAGCATTACAATTCTACAAATCAAAAATATTTACCTGATCCCTTTTCTTTTGCATCTTTCTGTTTCTCATTCTGATTTTGTAGTTGATCAGTTGGCGAACTTCTCCCACCATTGGTTTCAAGGTTCAGTTGGACAACTTGCTGATCATCGGTTAGAGGCGGAGTAGATGGAGGCAGAAGTCTTCCTGAATACTGGTGTTCCAGGTTTCCAGGTAGTTGCCCATTATTTTGGTACTTATAAGTTGACTCGGACTTAATCATTTCATTCATAAGTTGTAATGCATGTGAATGTCTTTCTTTTTTTACTTGAATTCTCCGTATACTCCAAAATCCTACAATCATCAGCAAGGTTAATGGAAATGTATTGCAATAACTAAAATAAAAGGATGGATCAAACCCCAAATTTTGGGAGGGATACTTACCAACTCCTATGACGGTTAGGATGACCTTCATCGAAAATTTAAGAAATTGAATACATGTGGCATAATTGGGAGGAAAGAAATCATCATCTTCCAACTCTTCATCTTCATGTTTTACTGCAACCGAAATTCCATAAAACAGTTGAAGACAGTATTGAAATGGTATACATGTGGTCCAATCTAACTACTTAAGCCAATATGTTCAACATGAACAAGGTCCCACCTTCAATTTTTGCCACCAATTTAAACGAATAGTACATATGTTAGGCCATATGGGGAAAAAAATAAATCTCACCTACATGGAGGGAGCATGTTGAAGATAATATTTGTATGATATACATGTATTCCAATCTAACATCTTACACTTCTAGATCAATTGTTCAACAAAAATACATCAGTATATAAGGCACATTGATGCAATGGGAGCTCAAAATCATGGCTCCTAGAGACCCCACTAAGTACCAAGAGATGCTGACAAACTTGGCGACTGTTTCAACTCATCGTCAAAGTAGTACTTATGATATTTTAGAAATAGTCTCTTAGAGAGAAATCTCAATTTATATTCTACATAAAATTACTTGAACTACAAAATACAATTCATATTTAAATCAACTCAAGTATCAAAACAAAGAATGTATAAAACACTCTAGGAAGAACTAAAGGGGTCCAGAAATAAAGATACAAGAAAGAGACTTAGAAAACTTGAATTCTTATATGCAAAAGTACCGAAAATCAAGATTTATTGAGAATAGGATTAAATTACTTAAACGAAAAATAAAATATCTCGAATTATAAATCAAGGTTTCACCCACCAAACTTGATTCATAATAACTCCATGAAAATATCGTTACCTAAAAATGTAATTTTCGAAACATCACAAGACAAATGGCTTGACATATACATGATGCATAAACAATATACTCCATTTAGAACTTTAAAGCATGACTATGTTTTTCTTCCTCGAAAAACCATGTAAAAGCTGTAGTTTACATAAAGAAATTACTGCCACTATAACCAACAAATGAATGGAATAAAACATCAAATAGCTAATGGTTGTCTCACGTGTCGCAAATTTCATTTTGTGGACTTCTATGTGATAAGGTGGGAGACTTAATGTAACGACTAACAAGGCCAACTTCAAATAAAATATTAGGTTTTGTATGTGTAAAATACCTCAAACTTCTAACTAGACTCTCGTAAAAAGTTGAACCAACTTTCTCACCTTCATCAAATTTTATTAACTTTATTCCCCAAAATGTGAAGGTACAAACTGGTTTTCAATCATCCGTCCTGAACTTCTCAAGAATCTTCATAGCATATGCCTCTTGAGAATAATATCCTTATTAATAATTAAGATATTGATTACAGATTACTTAAATGTTAACGGCCCATATTTCAAACTCGTGAAGTCATTTATGTTCTACGTGCTTGCATATTGAACTAAGAAAACTTTCCATGGATTTTTTTTGTGGTTTTGTGAACATAAATTTTGATGCTTCCTTCTTAATATAGAAGAACGCTCTCATAATTTATTTTCAATGTCTTCTTTATTATATACTGGTTATAGGGAGGTCTAGAGATTTTTTTTTTCATGGTTCCTTTTGATCTCTCGTATCTATTCTCCATTAAAGATCTTGGTCCTCTAAACTTTTTTCAGGAGTGTTTTTCTTCCAACTCAAGGACTTTCCTTCTCACAATAAAGCATGCACAAGATTTGCTCTAATTCCACAAACAGTCTAGTGTTAATTTTGTTGAAGATATGGAAATAATTCCATTAACAGTCTATCCAATTCGGCCTTGTACGTTTGACTTTTCGATTCTTGGTCGAGTCTGGTCTATTTTATTCCCAAATTCTCAATGCACGGTGAATTTTTGGTAATATGCAGCAATTGCTACTCATGTAACAGTTTGAAGGTTGGAGATTATGTGGTTGGTTGGCCTTATTAGCCTTTTTAGTGGTCTATTACGCCTTGTTAGTCTTTTGAACAGTGTGGATCACGAAGATCTTGTCAGACTTTGATAAAATTTTGATCATTGTTTACTTGTCAAATTTCCCATTTCATCTTCCACCAAGTTAAAACCCATCATTTATTGTCCTAGTCTCCTCGTGGGCCTGGGTTGCTATTCGATGAGTTTTCTCCTCTTCATCTTTGCATGGAATACCAATAGAACCTATGGATTTTCAGAGTCATACTATTCAACATGGCCTTTCCTTAACATGTCTATTTATTAAAACTATTTGAGGTTCTTGTTTTGGCCTTGTTCGTTATGCTTGTGGGTGTCTCCTTCAAGTTCCTGCAATAGTTCGTGTAGGATTGGTAGATGATGATTTTCTTTCTCGCCAACTTTGAACTGCTTGGTTGGCTAAGTCGGCAAGTATTGTTCATGTAATTCCGGTGAATCCTTTTGGTCTTGGCTGAGACTATTTGCTCGGATTAATTAATTTTCGAACTCAATTTGGTTTCTATATCACCATATTTAGTTTGAGGGGACGATGAACATATGGAAAGATTCTTCATGACACTTTTTTTAATTGTATGAGATTAGTTTCTTTAATAGTTGATTATGTGAATATTACACAACATTTCCTTTTAGATTACTGTTACACAAGTTCTACATACAATTTATAATCCTAACAAATCTAGTACAGCAATGTCTATCACATGAAACTCCTATTGCATTATAGTTCCCAAAAAATAATCCAAAAGAATTCTGAAGTTTCATTGCCTATTGTCGTTCAGGCATAGCCTTTCCCGTAAACACGTTAACACAATATATGCACGCACCTACCCTAACAGACCACTCTATGAGAATCAATCATTCCGTCGACATGTTTTCTCAGATGCCGACTGGGCAGGAAACAAAGTTGATAGTACCTTTATCACTGCTTGCGTTGTTTATCTTTTTAACTATCTCATTCTCGCTGAATGTCTCCATGTGTTACCATTTTGTTAGAGACAAAGTGGCTAAAGGACAACTAAGTATATCCTCCTATGCATCTAATCATTACTGGCTTATTAATGGAGTCCCCATATCTCTAATCAGTTTACTTTCCCAAGCTGCAAGATTAGCGCGAAGATCAAATCAATAGAGTTCGTATATTCTCAGCTACTGGGCAAGAAAATCATATTAGTGCAAACCATATCATTTTCATCATCTATTGGGTAAGAAAATTATATCTATGTAAATTAAATTGAGCATCTAAAGTTTTGTACTATTTGTAAATTATTGTAATTGGTTAACCTCTATTAGGTTTAGCAACCTCTTTGTGTGCATGTTCTCAGCCAAATATATGTATCAAGCAAATCAAAATTTATTGTTGCTCTCTTAATCCACTTTGTGTGATCATCTTTGATCTTTTTAAGTTAAACCTCAAGTAGTACAATTTTTGTCCAGTCTGAAGCATCTGCGTTCTAAATTGAATGTTTCTTCAAGTACAAATTATTATTTAAAACCACATTAATTAGAAAATTGTGCAAGAAAATCATACGTACTTTGAGGGTTCGTCTCTCTTTTGGGGGGATTCTCTTCATCGGATGAACTGCCACGTTGATTTCCAAGACCAGCTGGAAAGAAAAAAGCAACACCGTAAGGAATATAAAAAGTTAGCCTAGAGAAAGAGGGAAACATGGTTCATCCTGTTTACCTTTGATACTCTCGTAAATTGGAGTGACGAAAAGTAGGAAGATGTCCCTACATGTCTTGTAGTTCTGTGGACAGTTGACACCATTTGTGG